AATCAAAGGAACAACAGATCAAGAAGATATTACAATCATGAACATAAAAGCACCAAACTCTGGTGTACCCAATTTCATAAAAAGAGTACTCCAGGACTATAAAACACAGATTAACCCCAACTCAGTAACAGTAGGTGACTTTAATACTGTACCATCTTCAATAGATAGGTCAATGGGACAAAGGAAAAACAGAGAGACATCTGAATTAAATGATGTCTTACATGAAATGGACCTAACAGACATATATAGAATATTCCATCCGAGTACCAATGTATACACTTTCTACTCAGCAGCTCATGGAAGTGTTTCTAAAACTGACCACATTCTGGGACACAAAACAAATCACAAAAAATACAAAAAGTTGAAATAATTACATGCATTCTATCAGATCACAATGCAATTAAACTTATAATCAACAACAAAAGGAACTCTAGTAACTACTTGAACTCATGGAGATTAAACAACAAACTCTTGAATGATGAATGGGTCAAAAAAGAAATTAAGAAAGAAATAAAAGTATTCTTGGAACTAAATGAAAATAAGGATACAATACAATAAAACGTCTGGGACACCTTAAAAGTAGGCCTAGGAGGGAAGCTCTAAGTTCCTACATTAAAAAAATCAGAAAGAGCACATATTAATGACTTAACAGTTCCAGACTCTGAAAGGTAAGGACAATTCAACTCCAAACTTAGTAGACAAAAATCAGGGCAGAAATTAATGAAATAGAAACAAAGAAAACAGTACAAAAAAAATCAATCAACCTAAAAGATGATTATTTGACAAATTAAACAGGATAGACAGACCTTGTTATCCCAGTCAACCAGAAGAAAGAACAAACCTAAATCAACAAAATCAGAGACACTAAAAACAAACAAACAAACAAACAAACAAACAAAAAACATTGTAGGGAATGCTTTAAAAATCTAAACTCCATTAAATTTAAAAATTTAAAAGAAATAGATGAATTTCTAAAGTCATAGAAACCACCAAAGTTAAGGGCCCAGATGGATTCCACCAGACACAAACACAGAAGGGCAAGAACACATTTTCTCTCTCATTTTCGGATTGTAGTACCAATCCCTTATATGTGAGACTATATCCTGATGTAACACCAGGAGCCAGGAAAATGAAAAGAAAACATGGAGGTAAAGGTAAAGAAAGAACTCAAAAGATGGGAATAGTAGGGAGGTGGGCAAAATGGGAGTGTATGGCTAGGAGGGCAGGATGGAGGGTCACGCAGGGGCCCACTGTGGGGGTGGAGAGAACTCAGAACGGGGGGATGGTGGGAGATGGGTGTTATTGGAGAGAGGGGGGAGATAATGGGGACACTTGAGTGGGGGAAGGAGGAATGAGGTGGATTGTGGGGACAGAGCGTAGAGATGAATAGATGTTGGGGGGCTACAAAAGCCAGAGGGAAATGTGTTGCCTCTGAACCACCACTTGGAAGTCTAAGAAGTACTAAACCTGTTCCACTGTAATCTGATTTTGACGAGTGCTTTATCACAGCAACAGGGAAACAAACCAGAATATCAACAGAGACAGCAGCATTTGGCATCATACATTCTGCTTCATGGAGGTTTGGGGCTCGTGTAGCAATTCATGAGGATGACAGTCAGATAAAGGCCTAGGGATTATCTTCTCTCAACTTGCAGCCTAGATCCATGGAGATGAGTTCCTCAGTGAACAGGTGTTGAGGTTTCTCTGTCTCAGGACAAGCTTCACGCCTATCAGAGCCAAAGTCTCTCTCAATGATTCCTTAAATATAGATTACAGGTGTGGGAGACAGACTTGAGCCTAGGGTGATATTACAACTGTCAGGGTCACGTGGTTTCCAGGAATCCAGGCTCTGTAATTTGAAACCCAGTATGCTAATAAGGCATCCTACCCTCTATTCTGTGATAGGACGATAAACCTGTTATGCTAATGAGGTAGCCTACTTGTTGTGCTGTGATTGGACCACTACCCCTATATAAGTTTGTGCCTTCCTGCAATAAAGCAGACCTGTGTCACTGAACCTGGTCTCCTGTGTCTGAATGTGGCTCCACTGACAGTCTCCTCACCAGCCCTGGGGTCCGGGACCAGGCAGAAGCAGCGACGACAGGAGGCAGCACAGGGAAAGCAGAAGAGCTGCCTCAGCCCAGGGCAAGCAGAGGAGCAGCCTCAATGCCTGTGAGAACAAAGGAGTGGCACCCATGAGAACGGAGGAGCGGCCACCGCTGACAGTGACCGCATACAGGTACCAGACAAAGGAAATGCCTGGTTTTAGTCATGGGACTTACAGCAGTGAAAGGAGATCATGCTCATTAGCCATTCATGTTTCATTCATGATCCCTCCTGGACCACTTGAAATCTATCTACCCTACATCAATATTATCTTTAAGCAAGGCCTCCCGGTAACACTGGGACACTTCATTTTCTTCTGTTCCCAGGGAAGCAGAACTGCTTTCAGAAAGGTGCAGGACTTTGCCAATTTGTTGTCTATACTGCTTGTGATACTTTCTTCAAATACCCCATGCATACAGCTCTTCTGTCCTGTCTAGATAAAGCACCTTCATCTCTCATCAGGAATCATTTCCTAACACCCATGTTCGCCCAACTTTACCCATACCCACCATATCAACCATAAACTCTTCACCATATGACCAGATGCACTTTGTAAAATGCCATGATCATGTTATTGCCTTGATTCAATCCTATAGCTTCCTCTTTTCATTCAAATAAATATCCAAGTCATTGACATGACTGACAAAACATGTCATGCTCTTCTACCCTCTGATTTCTGATCTGCAGTCACAAAAATTCTCTCTGTAGCCCTCAAATATGTCACTCTCACCCTTTCACACATTCACCTTAGCCCTTTCTGACTGCTATGTCACACTCCCTACCTTCATCTGGCCAACCTCTGTGCACCTATTAAAGAATGGTTGTGGCATATAAGAGGGATCATACATGGAAATCAGACCATTTACATAAAAGATTTGCCATCCAGATAGGAAGGTCTCAGAGAGTCTCCCTTACCTGTGGTGTATGGACATTCTCTATACATGTTATGTATCTCCACACACCACTGCTCTTTTTTCAGACCATTCACTTTGGTGATATTCTTTGCAAATGTCAACCCATTTATAAGCTCTAAGACAGAAGAATTTCTGTCAGTCTTACTACTACTGAATCTCCAGTGCTAGCAAGTACCATGTGCTCATCAAATGTTTATTGCATGAATGTAAAAGTAAATAGGCAGTTTCAACTACACACAGTTTGGAGCGATTTACATATTGAAATCTTTAATTAAAAATAGAAAGATGAATCTAAAGCCAAAGAAAAATAAGTGATGCTAAGAAACAGTTTTAAGAGTTACTAACCTAAAGATAAAAGTGAAAGTGACTGATTACTTCAGGGTAACAGACAGAAAAGCTGCCTAACAACCATTTCCCAGGAACTGTTAAGATACATTGTTAAGCTATGGGGGCGGGGTGCAATCCTGAGACATACCAGAGAAGAAATGGGCTGGAAGGTGAATCCAGGGAGGACGTGCACCATAGGAGCCACAGAAAGTAGTATCTACTAATCTAATAGGAAAACAGTTTGCAGTTTGCTTTCACGTTTGGATAAAGAGATTCATGGAGATAAAAGACATAATTTAATGTGTATAAAGATGTAATAGGTTTCTACAAAACCTAGAACTTCAACTAAGTCACCAGATACTCTGGGCAAAGAGGTTCATGTTAGGTAAATACTGCATGTCAGAGAGAAAAGGGAAAAGGTATTAAGAACAGAAAGGTATACAGGTATACATGGGGCTTTCTAAGTGCCAAGTGAGCTTCATATACACTGTTGTGAGAATTCAAGGAACTAGTATGTATAATATCCATAACAAAAATGACAATCATCTCTTTATATAATTCTGACAACTAGCAACTAGTACTAGTGAAGAGAGGATCTAACCTAAAAATATAACAAGACAGGAACGATTTGATGCTACTCTGGGGAGCACTGTAACATAAGGAAAGATCTGTGAATTGAACATGAAGGGCCAAGTCTTGGTCTGCCACTTGTGAGCTATGGGGCTTTAACTTTACCAACCTCCTACCATTTCCCATTCTCAAAATGAAGACAGAAAATACATTCCTTTAGGATCATTGCCACAGTGATGGCATGAGAAACCATGGGGCACAGTGGTTACTTAAAAGACTTTTCTCTATGATTCAAAGAGAAAAAAGAAATGAAAACTGTGTTTAGTCAAATTGCAAGTGTTTTAGAGTAGGTTAGAGAAAGAATGAGTGATCAAGATATGTAGGAAGGCAGATAAGAAAACAGACAGATGGATAGAGATAATAGAGAATAGAGAGCTGCCACATGATGGTAAAGGTGCACACAGCGTTGATCTGTATAGTATAAAAGTGTTTCAGGAATGAAATATTAGACTAGTTCTGGTTCATATCCACTTCCCTGGATGATGTTCATGTACACATCTACCACTGGAGGTTCATTTTCCCTCCTACTTTGTTGACTACTCTTGATCTGCCTTGTTCTTTCTCTGAGTAATTTATAATTTTTCAGGGGGCTCTTAAGGTCTTTAGAGACATTTAAGAAACTAAGTTTCTATCTATTTTGATTCTGTAGTTTGACTGGGAGTGTACACACACAGCTCTTTTTCCAAATTTGTGAGTGATACTGCTTCCTCCATCCATGTTAGTCAAACTCACGATCAAATGTTGGCTTTCAGCAACGTTTGTATTTCTATTACCACAAACTAGTACAGTACTTAGAATTTGACTTAGACTAGACAATCTTTTATAGTAAGTGTATTGTATACTTTCACATATCCCAAAATCAAGACCTAAAGGAAATAAACTTAATTGTATATTGCTTTTAGGTATAATGCCATATGGCTCTTTGCTTATTTCCTTTAAATGCACTTTTAAAGGGCATAAACAGTGCAGGAAGGGTAGCTGAAGTGAATTGCAAGCAGACAGTATTGAGAGAATTGTTACCACCTCCACAGACCACACCATCTAGGTCTTCACAGCGCCGGTCATCACACTCACAGGTCTTGCCATACACTCTACTGTCCCCAGGAGGGTAGCAAGTGCATTTGCCACATTCGCATTTGCCTGCAAAGTAAGGAGAGAGCACACTGGTTAGGAGGGTCAGCTTCAGAAGGGCCTTTAGGGAAACAAGCATATTTCAAATCCCAAATCTCCTGAAGCGTTCAGCAAATGACTTTTCTGCCCTCTCTACAATATGCTGAAGGTCAACAGTAATGCCAGGGAGACTGGGGTGGAAGCCACAATGGCTGGCTCAGAAGTCATCCATGTTTTCTATGCTGCTATTGTTCTACTCATCTGTAAAGACTAATTCCATGTTGAATGTATTTCATATTTAATTTACTTGGTGGTAATATTTGAAGTGA